GCATTTCCAGATGTAACTTCAATTCCACATGTACAAGCTTAAGCAATTGGAAAACCTGTTCTGCTACTGCATGACTGTTTCAGATATTCTCCAAGCATTACTTGCATAAATCACTCCTATTCCAGAGCAATGAAGATGTCTCTTCCAACAGCAGTGCCAAGCCCCATACATCTCACACAACGCATTTGGCTGTGCTCTTACACACCCACAGGCTGTTTGGGTATCACACATCAACACTTACCCTGGCCTGAAAACACCACTGTAAGCCTGCCACAGACCCCACTGAAGCTGTAGGTTGGTATCCTGCTGCTCATAGCAAACAGCTGCGAAATGGCAAGTCTAGAAACAGACCTTCTTCCAATCCAACAGCTCTTCTCAACACCTACCCCAAAGCCATCCCTCCGGCTGGGCTCCTGGGATGCAGATCCATCCACACCTCCACCACAGCCCCTTCACACCCAGCAATCCACCCTCCCAACCCCTACCACACCTCTGATACCGCAGAGCATGGAGAAGCCCTGGCAGCAACAGAAGCTCAGCTGCTGCTGCCATCCTTCTTTTAGCACATCACCATCAGCACTGCTGAGCTCTCTCTTCAGCCCTCTGTCACGCTCTAACCACAAAGCAAAGCAACCACCAGACCACAAAAGCAAGCATGTTATACACACGTGAATCAGATTGTGTACCAACTGCAAGCATTAAGATGACAGCATCCAAAAACCAGTTCCTCCCCCAAATCAGCTGCAGACAAGAGATGGACCAAAGGGACCTGAAATATCCTTTACACCAAAACCCGATTTTATTCGCAGGCTTCTCCTCTTACTGCAACAGGACCACACACATTTAGAGAGAACAGCTTAAAGAGGACTATGGGAGCATAGGGCCAACCTTTAGGGAAAACACACTCAAAAAGCAGAGGAAAGGAGTCTCATTTCATTCAAAGGAATGAATCTGAAGCCTGGCCCAACATATTTCCTATTTCATATAGTGAATTTGAGAAGCAGTCTATTAATAGTTCACTACCGTGTTCCTATTCCTGCTTCTCTGTATCATGGAGACAGCTCTACTAACAAACACCAGTAATGCAGACACGTTTTCATATTGTTGCCATGAAGCAGAGCTAAACCAGTTGCTTAAGCTTAAACAGCAGCATCTTAAAAACTGACTTGGGAGAGACAAAACTGGTCTTGGAGATAACTTAATGAGCTCATAGTAATATCAGATTCAAGCTTCCAGAGGACTTCTCCCTCCTTTCTTCTTCTTTTTTCTAAATTATTCTGTTCATTTACACTACGAAGTTCACCCAGCCAATAAATTAACAGCCCAGATAGTAACAATCTGCTCTTCTGACATCAGACAAATGCTGTCAGCCAACAAGGACATCATAAAAGACAGAACTACCACACCAGTGACAATCAGCAGAATACTGCTTTACCCATAAAGAAATTTCCTGAATACTTAAGGGGTGGCAATATATAATATATATACATATATATACACATATAATCTCCCTGCCATGCCTGTTTGCGTTTGGCCATTTCAACACCCTGAGTTCAGTAGCTCTGCACAATCAGCTATTTTTAGCACCCCAATTTCTAACTTCATGTGGAGATGGAGAAAGCGCTCGCACAGAGCACCTCAGTAATCAGCACTGAAGAAGGAACCAAGACAAAATGAGATCTTTGCATTTGAGATAGCACTGTGTGAGACTGTTCCGCAGCTTCCCCATGTGCTCCCAAAGGAGAGCAGGATGGGGATGTTGGAAGCCATTCATTTAACTAGAAAAGCACATTTGGCTTGCCAGCAGCAGGTTGGCAAAGGCCTGCCGTCCTTATTCATGACCTAACATTTTACTTAGGAACACTTGAAATACTGTTACCGATGCCTCACCACAGAGCAATTGCATGACACCAATTAAAATTAATTATAGCTGTTGACAACCTTAGAATGCAAATCCTTCCAAACTGCAAGGCACAGTAATCCCATTCCAATAGTTCAGTTTCAAGAAGGAACAATACACATTTTCTCACTAGAATCTGACTAAAGCTTTCATGTCTTTGCAGACAGGTCTAAAACCCAGATTGCACTTGGTTCTCACTTGAATCCTGCTGTAATCCTAGCCACGATTTTGCTTCTGAACCCTAAAACCATCTTTTCACTGAAATAAAAAGCACTGAACAGGACTGGCTTGCAAGGTCTTGGTACTGATGGGCAAAAAGAGGCGGGCACCAGGCAGCAGTACCAGTGGGCTGAAAGAGCTGCTGAGCCAGGGCAGGGGATTAATGCCTGCACAGGACCTCAACTGCTCACTTTTAGAGTCTGAGAGTTAAAAGAGGCACACATGCACCTGCAGGAGAAAGACAAAGAACAACACAATGCAGTTTCCCTACAAAAAGGTCCTCCAATTGTGCGAGTCTGTAAAGGACGTCATTTTGTCTTCAGCAGCTCAGCAGTCATGGCTTCCTTCAGCCTACTGCTAAGTATATCCGAGCATAGCATTCCTACAGACAGAATCACATCAAAACAATGTAGCATACACAAGAGCATCTGGAAGACTGTGACTGAAGCCATTCCTTCACAGCACTCTGATGCACACAATAAGAATCCCCAGCTGTACAAGTTAAAGGGCTCCAGACAACACAGAGCAACACACCTACTGACTGCCTCCTCCTTCCAATTAACCCTGAGGCAAAGGCCTCACATGCCAATGGCAGATTCATGTCATCCAGCTGCACATTCTCACTGCAGACCACAATTCACACCCCCCTCCCCCCCCAATACACTACACAGCCTCTGGCATCACCTGCACACCTGAGAAACCTCCATCTTTAAAGAGACACCGCAGCTATAACACTGCAGCTGTAACACTCCAGGTGATTGGCACCCATTTCTCTTAAGTACCTTAACAATAAAGATTGTTCCTACAGTCAGAGGCCTAAATCAAGCTCTGCACTGCATTTGGACTACCCAGTAGTAAGACCTGGCTTACGCTGAAGCACAGGCTGTAACTGAAACAGGTGGGCACTGTGGAATTACTACAGCTGATTTCTCTACAAACAGTGGGCTCAGGAACTCCTGAACAAGCATAACGAGGAACATGAAAAACAATCACCAGTCAAACCTCACACTTCACTGCAAACTTCCCAGCCTCCACCTTCGGTTAAAATGACCCAAACAGTGGATGTCAATAGAATGGGCTCTCCAATGTACCAGGCAGTCCTCTGTAGCTGAAGTTCTTCTCTTATGAAAAAATATGTTGGAAAATCTCTAATCTAACTCCCCTACTGAGGATACTGAGAAAACCTGGCAGCAAAATGAATTCCTGCTCTGTGTGATGGCTCTGTTATGACAGAGCTCGCATGCACCGGTCAGAGCAGACAGCTCAGCAGCCCCAGCCCTCTTCTGCACACACACATTCCCCCAGAGTGGATCTGAATTACTACCCTAAATGAATTACAGGAGTAAAAGCCTCTCATCAGGGCTCAGTCCCCAGCAGCAGCCAGAGATGAGGGCCTCTCAGCCCCTCTCCCAACACCACAGATGCTGAGCTCTCCCTTCAATCCTTTCGGCAATCCTAGAGCCTCCCCACCCGGACCGCCCACCCCCAATGATGGGAGTGGAAATTGGACTGAACCCCTCCTCCACATCCTGGCTATGATGTGCCAGGCCTCCTCACACCTCACAGCTCTGCCTAATGACAGCCAACGAGAGCAACGATGGCAAAAGCTGAGGAGTGCTGCCTGTGCTTCCTAGCAGGGAGCAGCACTGCAGTGAATCACAACCATATTGTTACAAGGAAGCCATTGGGGAATAGGGATGAGGAGGCAGCACATCCATCTCTGCCCATCCCATCAGGCTGGTGGTAATTTACAAAGAGTTTGTGCCAGCCCTAATAAAACAGACAGCTCAAGCTGAGTGCATCACAGTATTCACGTGTGAATAAGTGTGGTGTACCACAGTATTTATGTGCTGCTCACACTCTCCCATGGCCCATAACACTGCCACATAGCAGGAAGCTCAGGACCAAGAGGGTCCAGGGTCAGAACCAGGAGTCAAACAGCCTGATTCCCACCCAAATCATGGGGTGGAACTCTGAGTAATAAGTCAAGGGAAAAATAAAATTAAAAAAACATATAGATTACATGTTTTCCTAAAGTCCTATCTGAATGGATGTTAATGGAAGTGAGGTAAGGAGAAGGCCCTAAAAGATTTGCAGAAGAAATAATATCCTGCTTTATATATATTCTCACTTTAGTGAACATAGCAGAAACATAAATCCAGAAGGGAGAACATACACGCACTACAAAATAAGTGTTTAAAAAACCACGTCCTAGAACAGCACAAGGCACTACCTGCATCTTCTCTACTCGTTACCAGGTGACTTCACTGCAAAGAACCAGAACCCAAAGCAGAGCTGCTATTTTTAGCCTTACTTTTAGATGTATCAGAGCACAAAGCTGAACTGCAATACGGGCTCAGGGCACCCAACAGAAGGCACAGCCTGAGACTCACAACACAAACCACCAGTGTCAGGAGAGAGGAAAGGGCAAGGAAGGGCTGAGAGAGACAGCACAGCTCCCATCGCCGGAACAGCATCTCACACCCATATTCGCTGGGAAAGGACAGCGTGCTTCTGCAAATGCACTGCAGTCAGCGTACACAGCGAGCGCTTCCAGCCCAGACCCGCTGCCAAACGCAGCTCTGCCTCGGCACTGGGCTGTGGGGCCGGGGCTCGGCTCAGCTCCCCGCAGCCTCCGAGAGCCGTACGGCCCCGCGGGCAGTGCGGGGCGGAGGGAGTTAATGCGGGGAGGAGTGCGCATAAGGTGGTGGGTGCGGAGCCAATGAGGACACTGCGCTATAGTTAGACGCTGGGTACCGAGCGGTGGGGGCTATAAAGGCTGCTCGGAGCCGAGCTGCCGGGGGTGACACCGGCACGCTGCCCTTAGCGCCGGGGCTTACGAAGCAAGAAAACCCGAAACCGTACGGGAGGGTGAGCTTACCTGAAGTTCACACCAAGCGACTTCCACCCACGTCTCCGTGTCCAGTCCCTTATAGACCGTTTTGAAGGATCCCCTCCCGAGTTCAATATCAAACTTGAGGAACCTGCCATCCAGCGAGGTGGCAACCGCTTTCATGTCAGCCTCCTCCTCGGGCTCCTCTTTCTTGGTCTTGCCCTGCTCCCTGGCCGCGTCCGACGCCTCCTTCCTCTCCGCATCCTTGCCGGCCTCCTTCTGCTCCTCGGGCCCCGCCGCACCGCCAGGTGCCGGCCCCGCCCGCAGCGGCCCCGGGGGCTCGGCCTCCAGGCACACCTTTTCCGCCGCCCCGTGCCCTGCCTTCGCCCTCTCCGCGATTATCCTCCTGGTTTTGGGGAGCAAGATGATTTTCCTCTGATGCTCCGACTCGGGAAGGTCGAACGCGGGCTCCTCCTGGTCCGAGTCCACCACGCTCCGCCGCAGGAACCGCTGATGGACCATTTTGGGGTCCCTGGAGCACGGCGCTCGGGGCGGCGGCGCGGGCGCTCCCGGCCCCGCAGCGGCGGCCGCTCCGCTCCCGCCGGGCCCATCCACGTTCACGCCGCCGTCCGCAGCCGGGGGAGCGCCGGGCCCAGTAGCGCCCGGGAACCCGCCGCCTCCCCGCCGAGATGCCGCTCCGGCATCGCCCCCGCTTTCCATCGGCTCTGAGGTCTCGGCGCCCGGCCTGGGGAAGTCACCGCGCTCCGTGCCCGCGCCGGGCCGCCCCGGGGCCACCTGCGGGGGGAAGGCAGAACGCAGCGCCCTGACGCACCACCAAGGGCCCCGGCCCGGCAGTCCACCCCCCTCCCGAAGCCGCCTCGGGACCGCCAGCCGCCCCGCCCGCCCCCAACCCCCCGGCGAGAAGCCGAGAGCGGCGGGGGCAGGTGCACCTGCGGGCACAAAGGCGCGGCAGAGCCGCTTACTTACGTGCGGAGCGGGGGGGCCGCCGTCCTCAGCGCCATGGACGGGGATGGGAAGAGGGGCGGGCACCGCCGCGTGTGCGCGTCGCCGTGCGCGGTGCGCGAGTGTGAGTGTGTGTGTGTGTGCGCGTTGCGTGTGCGGGGAGCGCGATGCCGGAGCCCCGCGGCCCGCCCCGCGCCGCAGCGCTCCCTGCCCGCAATGCCGCCCCCGCCGCTCAGCACTGCTCAGCCCTGCGGCAGCCCCCGCCGCGCCCCCATGGGCGATGGGCGCCGGCCGCCCCCCGCCCGCCCCGGCCCCGCTCCTCCGCCCCCACCCCGCGCCGCCGCCGCGCTTTTGTCAATGGGAAGCGCTCCGCGGCGAGCGCCCCATTTAACGCACCGGCGCTCGCGGGCCGCCAATGAGGCGGCGGAGGGCGGACCCCCCCGGCACGGCCCGCCCCCGGCCGCGAACAATGGGAGGGCCTCGGCCGGCCGCCACCGCGCCCCGCTGCGCAGCGCCCTCCGCCGCCGTGCGGGGCGGCAGCGGGGTGGCGGGGCGAGCGATCCCAGCGATGCTGCGGTGGCACCGCGGAGCGGCCTCGGCCGGGGGATCCCCGACGCCGTGTGCGTGCACAGGTGACTGCGGCGAGCGGTCGCTACGGCAGGTGCCGCGAACCCAGCCCCCTTCGTGCTCGTAATTTTTCATAATCGATGAAACGACGAGCATAACTCATTCATAGCGTTTGATAATTCACTGCGGCACCTCTGTCGGAGCTGCGGGTCTGAGCGCGCCGCCCGCCACATGGATCGGGATTTTCCTTTGTTTGCTTCTTCTCTCCGTCCCCGGCGGCCGACACGGCGCCGTACGAGCGGAGAGCGGCCCTGAACCGGACGGGGGACCCCGAGCTCCCGCCCGGGGCCGGGCCGGGCCGCACACGCGGGGCTGTGCCCACCGCAGAGGGACGGGGCTGCTCGTGCATCCGCAGGAGGATCCTGCACCCCGCCCTTCACAGCCCTCTGTCGTAGGCGTGAAGTTCCAACAAACAAACACAATATGGTTTGGTAATTAGGATTTAATTAAATAAATCTGAGAACTTATTGTTCATTATTACCTGAGATTTCTGAGTGCGAAGAAGGTGTCTGCCAAGCAATCATAATCGTTTTTTTTCTTTTAATTATTCATTTTTTGATGGGACCATTAAAAAAACACCAACTTCACAATAAGAAAGCAGGTGTTTCTTTTAATTGAAGCTCTGCTGTTTATTGTAAAGACGTGGCTGGTGAATAATAACTCAGTGTTTTGAAACATTCCATCTTTCAGTGGTTTGCTTTTTGAAGCATTCCCATACGATGCAGTGCTTGCAGGACGTGCAGTCGGGGCACAAAGCACAGCTCTGTGAGCACACACAGCGTGAGGCTATAAAGGCACTGCTGGCAGTGCTGCCCTAACTGCCCAAACAGGAGTCCTGTAAGCAGAACACAGGAGGAAGGCACCAAGAGGCAGGCGAGGAAGGGTAAATGCCCTGCATCCTCCTTCAGTCTCAGGAGAGAATGGAATGGCTCTGACTTAGGGCACTGCTATGTTGGGGCTCCAGGAAGAAGAGTGCAGGTGAGGACTGGTGCTCCCCTCATTGCCACAGCCCCACAGGTAGAGGTCTTGCCAGTGGCAGCACCATGATCTGTTCCGACCGCTGCTGGAACGCACCACCTGCCCCTCACTGTGCCAGCATCCACTGTTTGGTCTCCATAAATGCTCAGTAAGCACTGATGAATGTTAGTGGGTGTCATCTTTTTCCACATGTAGGAATTCAGTTCCACCCCTTTGCTTCATACACACTTCATGTCAGACATCATTCTATCAGACCACCCCTCTGCTGCTACCTGTCACATGGCAACAAAATGTCACAGGATATTGGTGGGAAGGTTCAGCCTCTACTGCCATACCACCAACATCCGCCTCTGACATCACGGGCCAACATCATAAAATAGGAGGCATTACTTTCAGAGCAGCCATCATGGATAGGTAGGTAGATAAATAGATAGATAGGTAAATAGGTTGGTTGATTGATTGATCGATAGCTATTTGTTAGTTTGCAGTAAGAAAGTTTAGCCCAGTTCCCCATGCTAACAGCTTGACCTCCCGGTGCTTGGATACTGAGAAATTTTGTGTTTGTTTAAAATACATGCTGGCAGTGGACTGTGGAAACATATGTATAGGCCTTCGGACTTCTACTAACTGGTTTTCTTTCTAATTTATTACTCGACTGAAAGTGGGTCACGTCCTTACGGAAAGCCACTTCCAATTGTATGGAGGCTGTGCTCTTCCTGCTGCGTGTATGCGACCAGCCCGAATGCTATGTTGCACAAGGCCTGTGTTTTCTTTAAAAGGATAATAATTTAAAGACCCACTTTCACAATATAGCCTCAGTTAGGTCATTTCTGTTCTGTTCTGGCTATTTGTTTATAGATGCAATAGTTCAAGTCATCAGGTTAGTACAAACGTTTATTGCAGACATGTTAAAAAGGGTCTCTGTGCAGTGAAATTGTGGATGCTGTGGCAAACTCAGCTGGCAGGAAGAGCAGAGCAGGCAGCAGCAGTGGGGAAATGGCATCACCTGAATCCAACGTGCAGAAATGCCTCTGTTTGTCTTCTCCAGTGACACAGGAACCATTTATCGTTGTAACATGCATCCCCATGCCATGTCCTGAAGGTGAGGTTCCCTTTCCAGGCAGGCATGTTATCACCTCCCCCACCAAAATCTGACCCAGGATCATTAACAGTTGTTCAAAGATTGCTGTGTTAATTCAGAAGTTTGTATTCAATTATTTATCTGCTTTTTTTTTGCCAGGAAATGATGGCGTTGAGCCTACAATAAACGCAAATGGGCTGCCCAATTAATTTCCAGATAATTCTGTGTGACCACGAGGATTGCAGGAGCTCAGATAGCACAGTGGTGTTTTTTAAACCTCTCTCCCCTTACTTGTGCCACTTGCTGTTATGATCCCTGCCATACTTTAAAAACACAATTGATGGATAGAGCTAAATAAGGTGTAGAGGCAGGTAAGGAATGGAGCAGAACAGGCAGAAATAATAAGCATGCAACAAACATGCCAGCAAATAGGCTTGTTTTACAAACAAGAACAAGGAGCAATGGCAGGTCTTGAGGCCACAGGGGCTCGTAGCCATTCTCCTGGCTACAGCACTGAGCCCTGCTGTGAGCAACAGCTGAAATCCTGAAGTGCTTCTGCTGCAGTGGTAAACTGAACTGAGAAAACAGACACCAGGTAAACAGCATAGGTAATGTAGAGACTGGCTGAAAACAAACACCTGTGTGTATGGAGAGCTAGCACCAAGTGACCAACGTATGGGATTTCTGACCTTCCACGGGCTGTCCTATTGGAACACCACGAGGCCATCTGAAAATACACGACAACCTGAGCTGACAGGGCCTGTCAGTGCAGGCAGGGCATGAGCAAAGAGTGAACACTGTGCAAGGAAGTTCCGTGGGCACTATGGGTCAGTTAGAGCTCTGTCCTCCTTCTGGGCACAATTACTCTGCACTGCTCTTTTCTGTGCAGTAAGTACTAATGGCCAGACAGCAAACATCAGCCAATAGTGTGGGTGTTAGAGATGATCACAGCCAGCTCCGAATGGATCCCAGAGCTCCTTGTCGAATGCCAACCAGAAGAACGCTAATAGAATGTCAGTTTCGGTACTTGATAAATATGTGGTGCTATGTTTCTTTGTTAAGAACATGAGAAGTACTCCAGTGACAAGGTGCTGCACAGTTATTCCTTCCAGTTCCTATAGGGAAGCCGAAAACCCACCACCTGTCCTGAGCTGTCTCCATAGATGTCATACCCTTGATTTCCACATAGCTCTGAGCACAAGTGTGTATGTGGGCACATAATTAGCCCACATCCCAGCTTCAGTTTTATTACACTGACTAGTTCCTGGGGCAGATGTAGGCAGATGTGGGGTGTGATCAATCATTTTGATGGGATGATAGGAAACGGCCTCAAGTTGCACCAGGGGAGATTCAAGTTGGGCATCAGGAAAAGCTTCTCTTGAAAAGCGATCAAGCACTGGAATGGGCTGCCCAGGGTGGTGGGGTCACTGTCCATGGAAGTACTTAGGAAACGTGTAAATGTGGCACTGAGGGCCATGGTCAGTGGGCATAGTTGGTGGTACATGGATGGTAGGACTGGATGGTCTTAGAGGTCTTTTCCGACCTTAATGATTCTGTGATTCTATGATTCTGCTATTTAACCACTGATCTGCTCGCTCTTCGCATGCGAGTTGAGGAAAAGCACACATCTGAACTGCTGTGAGGTCCTTCACGCAGATGCATGCACACGTTGCCCTTGTTACAGAAAACTTTATAAAGATAAAACTTCAAAGGCAAATTTCCTAATGCTATTTTTAAGCTTAAAAATAAATAAAACATGATACAATTCAACACCTCTCTCCTCCTATATAGCAAGAATGCCAAAGCCTTAAGCCAGCACTTTATATTCTTATTTTTTTTTAAATCGAACACTGTATATTTTATTGCTTTCAGGAAGAGCAGCGATGACTACCAAATTCAACTGGAGTCAGTATCTTCTTCACCAGAACTTCTGGTGCACTGCTGCTTTTAGTTCTTTAGCGGGGATGTTGTCAGTTTCCAGGGCTCAGTGCCAACTGATTGTGTAACCAAAAAAGAAGTGCAAAACAATGTCTGCGATAGCCGAAATCACTAAGCTCCACCAAGTGGCACC